TAAATTAATAATAAGCAAGTTATGGGGATAATAGGATTTTTAATGAGCTGTTTCTGGTTGGGGGGTCGCCTTTACAGAAACCCATCCACTGCATTGCAAATGCCAGTGTTCAGCACTACAGCGATGTGGTGAAAAGTCCTTTAGTCTAAATTTTCTTGAACAGAAGGACCAAACTTTGTTCTTGTAGTGTGTTTAGGAAAACTCCCCCAGGACTGAGCTATTGTTACATCACTTTACTCGAGGCACATACATTCAGATGGAGCAGGACAAGAAAAAAGATGCAGTCGCTATCTGTGGCATGATTAGAGGAAGGATGGCTATTGCTGCAAAACCAGCCCAGCAAAGCCTGCCCTGCGGCAGCTGAAGGTCCTTCTCAGTCTCCTAACAACAAGTTTAAAGGCTTTTTTTTTTTTTCCTACAGAGGCCTGCGAATTTCTGCAACTATTTGCAGACAGAGGCAAGAGGGTGCTGGATGCCAGGGCGACATGTGGGCGACAAGGTCAGACCCTCTGCAACACGCCGGCAGCTCTAGCAGGGGAATCAAAATGGGAAAGGGCAGCTTCGTGGCAGACCTGACTGCACTTCATCCCTGCACACGACGGGTATCCTCAGTGCCTGTGCCCAGAGCCAGCCTGGGACTGGGGAAGGGAGATGAGACTTCCGAAATTTTTTCCATGCAGACTATGAACACAAGAACTTTTACCCCAGTGCTTTCCAGTGAAACAGATGGAATAAAAATTAAGATGATGCTGGGGTAGGTTTGCCCTTCGTTACACAGACGGGGAGGGTAGAGCTCTTTTACTAATATGATTGCGTAGTAATCAGACCATTTGGAGCTGTTATTGTGTGACATTTCTTCATGACATTTGGTTTGACTTCTACCTCCTGGTTTGTCTGAGACGACTGCTCTTTTTGGTCAGAAAGTACTGATCTCCCTCCAAAACGTACTGTAGCTCAGAAGCAGAAGACCTGCTCCTGAATCGCTACCCATCCAAAGAAATGCTTGCCCCAAAGGACCGGAATCCCACAGAACATTTAATTTTCTGCATGAAAAACAAAGCTGTGGACCCTCATTTGGGATCTGTGTCTCTCAGGAAGTCTGGGCTGAGGCCTCAGGCAGCTGAGGGATGTTGTGTATCCAGCTAGAAGAACCCACCCCAACCCGTAACCACCCTTCCCACAGCCACGGCTTTGTGCAAAATGACAGAGAGGGTAAAACGGTGAATGTGAAATCTCCTGAGTGAAAAGGAATTAGTAAAACCCCATATTCATGAAATATTGAGAGCTAATTATATGTGCATCGGAAACCTCTGGGGGAAGGGAGATGGAGGCCTTTCATTAGACGGTAACTGGAACTTTTTCATCATTTGTCTAGCTCAGGAATGTAAGGCTGCTGTCTGGAGAGGGATGTGGGATTTGGCTGCAGGGCTGGGTGTGCAGGTGAAGTGCCATGCTAGCGAGTATTTCTATTGTACTCTGGCATGTCTTGGAAAAGGCTCTCAGCTGTAGAAGGTCGGTGGGGCTGGGTGCTCCTACATCTCGGCGCTCCTGCAAGACCTCTTCAGTCATATGCACCAGGAGGAATCGTTGCTCCCAAATAATTTCTCATCTTCCTCCCACCTAGCCCCCAAACGGGTCCAAAGTCCCATCCCTCACTTCAAACCTGGTTGCGGTTTCTCCTGGAGGGCACAGACCCCCGTTTCTACCAGGCTGCCTCCAGAAAGTTCAGTTTCTTTGCTTTTGACCGGCTCGCTGCTTTTGCAACCGAAACGAACGGCTAGTTACTGCCACTGCACCATGGACCAAATTCAAGACCAAGATCAGAACCAGTGAAGAAGGGGGAAAGTTTTTATCGCGGAGCCGGAGCCAAGCACGCAAAGGAAATGCTGCCTGCCGCATGGCCAGCAGTGCCCGGCAGCCACAGGGCAAGGGTCGCAAAGTAAAAAAGGGGGGAAAAAAAGTAGCCTGCAGTGGGTGACGGCGGGTTTTCTCTCTCAAAGCTTTGCAGCGACTTTAGACACGAGGCTGGCTCGGGGAAACCCATCCCAGCTCTCTGCCTTCTGCCCCTTACTGGGAGGGTGAAGGCACCCGCGTCCCTCCTGCCAGCCCCCCTGCCCTCACCCACCGCTCTTCTCCTGCAGCCGAATTTATCCCCCCCACCCTCCGTGATCTCCAGGGGACGCCTCTCTCTCCCCACGCAGGGAAGCAGCCCCCCCAGGACCGCAGGCACCAGCCGCCTCCTGCCAGCGGCTGCTCCCCAAAGTCGTGCCGTGCCCGGGACTCCCCTCGGCCTGGCCGCCCCCCCCACGACCTCCCCCGTGGCGAAGCCCCCGCGGAGCCCCCGCACCCTCGGAGCTGCTCGCGTTGCTCCCGCGGCGGCGGCGCGCCCTGGCCCTCGGCACATAAATCAGCATTAAACCCATTCCCCCCTCTGATCCCTGGTGCCACCATCTATTACTCCCCCAGTGCGTTTTCTATCACCTTTTGTTAGAATTACACAGCCGGAAACTTAATTTACCCGGAGCTTTAAAGACAAATAAATACAGGCAGGCCGGTGTCCCCGCGATATGCCTATTTACTCCTGCGATCCATAGATTATTATGAATTGTTGTGATTTTCAGGCTGCTGCTGTTTTAAATACCTTCTCTGCTACTCTCCCCGGCTGGAAAAAAAAAACCAAACGCCCACCCTTCCCGAGCAAGGGGCAAAGAGCAAGAGACCATAGCACAGGCGCTGGGTTTTATTTACTTTTGCTATTATTGTTATTATTATTTTCGAAATTTGAAGCGAGCGCGGTTTTCAATTGCTGAAATAATTGCCTGGGAGAAAGGTTGCTTAATCTGTTCATACATTATTGACTGGGGCTCCAATATTTGGCTTGCTGCTTTTTATCGCAAGAAGATCACGTACGAGAGTCTTTTGCATAACAATTTTTAAAGAGGACACATCCTTATATCAAAAGTGGACGTGACTTGAATTTTGCCGGCGTTTGTCCCTAAAATGACCCAATTCCGGTTACTGCCACTGGGCAGCAGTAACATTGCATCATTTCTCCAGGCAATAGACTTATTTTGCTTTCTCCCCCGCCCCTTCCCCTTCTTCCCCCCCCCCCCCGCCCCGAGCCAACACGTACTTTTAAAGCTGATTATTTTGTCTTGCTGCGTTTTAGCCCTACGCACACTGTTTTCTCTCCCTGGGAACGGATGAGCAGAGAGGAGCAAACCCGGCTCGTAGGAGCAACATGGCTAATTAACGCCGAAAGTTCCCGGGCAAGGCAGAAATAGTGCCTTCAACGAAATTTTGCTGTAAGCCGCCGCGGAGAGCCCCCAGCACCGGTGCCAGCTCCTCCAGCCACCTCCCCGAGCATCCTTTTCCCCGAGGAGGATCAAAAGAGCCCCCCCTCTCCCCTGCTTTTTCAAATCGAAATCGTGCTGCTTCCCAGCCCCACTGGTCAAGTTAATTCCGGAACAAAGGAGGACAAAAACACAAAGGATTTCTCTCCCCCAGCACCCCCCCCCTGCCCCTTTCTCCCCGTCTCAAACTTCCCCGGTGCCCGCACCCTGGCCCGGCGCAGGCCGGGGACCCCCCCCCTACCCCGGCATCGCCTCCCGGGCCCGGAGCCACGGCCCGACGATGGGGGGGGGGGGGTGAAACGACAGAGGGGGCCCGCGGTGGGGAGGGGTACGGGGCTCGACCCTCCTCCAGAGCACTGGTAGGGAGAAAGCCCTGAGCTGCCTGCAGACTGGGAGGGGAGAAACGATGACACCCACGTCCCCCGCCACCGGTGCTGTTGTTTGGACCTCGGGGTAAAAAAAA